CCCCCCCTCCTTGAGTAAAACCTGAAGTATAGGTTACTCACTGATTACTTGACGTCACAGCTAGAATTACCGCTTTGAAATGGGCGGGTTCAACTGGAACCAGGCTTAAGTATGGCGGCTGAAAGTTTGGGGTTTTCAGAGCGCGAAAGGCTTTTTTATTAACAAATATTGGACGAGGTTGAGCAAAGTATCGTGGTTTGTCAGTGGCGAGCAGATCAGTGATTTGCCGTTGGCGAATAATTGATCGGCGGGACACTGACAAATCACGATATTTTGCGGGATAACAGAGTTCAATAATTGTTTTATCATTCATCAAGTTTTTTCTCACATTTAAATCACTATCCGTACGTCAGCTCAGGGAAGCGATCTACCGTTTTTCACCCGAGAGCATGGGTACAATTAGCAGAAAATTGTTTGCAGCAAAACACAATTGGACGTTACTACTGGCCAGATCATTATTTGTAGGCAGTTATTTACAGGTCTCGTGGTGGCCTCATGGCCAATGTAAAGGATGGAAAATGCATCGAATGATACTGTTTTTTTCCGAATCAAGTTACAAGTAGCTTGTATGAGAAACGGCGACGCTTGCTGAGATCACATTTATAACAATATAAGTTGATTGCTTCCGTCATTTTTTTCTGCAGTTTTTTACGCATCCAGTCGTGGATACTGAAATCAAACGCAAATGGTATGGTCGAGATTTTATGAAGACTGAATGGAAAAGGTGGAAAGCACTGTTTGTCTTCTGGTGTCTTTTTGATTTGGTGTTCTCTCCAATCCTGTTTGCTGTGTTTTCTCTGATGACAAAAAAGGACAAAGGTAAAACTAGTCGAAGAAGGAAGTTAAGAGTTAACTCATTAGTAATAGGCTCAGCCCCAGTGTGCAAAGAGATTTAAAATGGACGTAATTAACCCACTGGACATTGTTTCTTACATACTCAAGTGTTTTTGCCCAGAGTCGTGCTTTCAATCTAGTGTCTTCCCAGACGTTTTAAGTTTACAAAGGAAAGAGAAATGCAGAAGGCATGGTCCTAAGATGACAATAATTTGATGCATAAATCATTACGACTTTACATCTATTAGCGGTGAATGTAACGTATTTGGGTAAATAAAGGCAATAAACTATTACTCCTAGACCAAAGCCCTCGGCCAATAGGTGCATGAAATATTCTAAATTTACGGTTAAAATAAGGAGGAACCCATCACTAGGAGTGTGCAACTCCCATACTAAGTCGATGCCGCAGCATTTTTACAGACCGGTTTATTTTTATTCTTCTTTTCCCGCGAAATGGGTCAATTTCGGTCTACATGAACGCGCATCAATAAGGAAAAATGGTTGTTTTTCTTTTTAATCTTCCAGTGAAATGTTGTTGTCAATTACAAATCAAATCCCTGCTTGCGATTGGTCATTACGGTTCCTGCGGGGGTCTGAATTCGCGGTAAATTCAAACTAAAATTCGATCGGTCTGTGAAAACGCCGTTACTGTGAAAACGCTCCTAGTGATGGGCTCCTGTTTAGAGGTAATTACTGAATTGATTTGCGTTATGTCTACATCCGCTTGGTTTCCCTTTGTATTTATTACATGTACCATCTTCTAGAGGAAAATTCTTCAGATTCATTCTCTGAAAGTGATGAAGAAACGAAAAGCGATGATTGGGAAAACGAAAAGCTCAAGGTAAAATAATGGTGTGATACAGTATTTAACTGAAGACCTTAAATGTTCTTTTCACTAACCCACTGCTCACTGGAACATGAAACACCCCCAAATAGCATGAATAATTTTAGACTGCCTGGTTGTAGCAATCAGACATAAATTATGCTTTTAATGGTCTTTCATAGTCTTACCAAATGCGGAAACCTTTGTGACCGTTTTTTTTTTTTTTTTTGCATCCGTCCCCATACCAGTCAAATGCAGCTAGTTCTGAGACAGACATTTTACAAAACGGGCTCGATCTTAGGGCAAGTCAGTGATAGGTTGGTCTTTCTTAAGCATGACCACCCACCCTGCCGTGGAGATGATGTTGGAGATGGTGAGTGTATATGGGGAACTGTGTTCGGACTTTCACTCGGGCGCATTTTATCGCATTAAGAAATATCTAGTAAACAGGAATAGCGAATACGCACATCATGACACCGCAACAAGAAAAAGATATACGCAATTATATACACAACATTGGATGACGCCTTCGCTGTATAATTGTGCAAGTCCTCGAAAAGTGTAATTTAAAGTTTCTTTTATGGATTATAATTTATTTTCATTCATCTTGGTTTTATTTTCCTATTTAGAATACGGAAGCTAAGCAATACCTATCAGGTAAATAAAAGATATTTATGAGAGTCACATATGAATATATACATATTTATATCGTCGCCACGACAATGTCATCCTCATCCTCCTCCTCCTCCTCCTCGCCCCGCCCCCAAGCCCTACGCCTGTGGAGGGCATAGTGGCCTACTGTGCCCTGCCTCTAAACTGTTGTCTTTTCTTGATAAGACTTGAGTCAGCTGGAATGACTTGTGTGCATTTGTTACAAATTTTGAAAAGGTTGCAGATTGTTGTGTCTTCCAGTAGCTTTCATTAGCTTGCATAGTATTTATGCATTGTTATAATTATACAACGGATAGAACATATTGATTTCAGATTAATACCAGACTTGGAGATTTTTAGTAAGGTGTGTTCCGTAAGCTTTACGACAGCATAATTTATAAATAATTATCTCCTGCAGGTAATGAAGTCTGTAGTTGGCCAGTTTTCCAAAGCTTCAAAGGGAGACATCTCTGATCAGGACATCACACGAGCAAAGTGAGTCTGCGTGGAAACAAATATCAGCAGAGAGCTATTGAAACTCTCCACGTGCACTGTGAAAGAGTGTCCTTTTAAAATGTTTTTGGGATTGGTTTTGCTGTGATGGTAGGCTTTCTGCCCTGGGGCCCGTTTATCGAAGGTTCCGAAAGGTTTTCGCACCGAAAAGCTGTAGCAAAATCTCAAACCTTATGATTACAGCAACAACAACAATAACTTTATTTACTTTTTTGTTTTCATATCAGTGAAATTTAAAGACAAAGAAAACAGTGTACTGTTTGAGTCTGGAGACTGAAGTAACCAAGGGTTTTCTAGTCAGCCTCCAGTTATTATGTTTCTATGGAGATTTAAGAGAAGAAAAGCTATTAAGAGAATGAGATATGTACATAAAATTGGAAAAAAGGAGCATATAGAAATATTACTTGTTTTCGGAATGTTGTTCAGACAGTAAATAAAGTTTCAGATGTTTCGAGAAGTTGAAGGTATTGAGGTCTTTAAGATGAGTAGGGATATTGTCCCAGAGAATAGTCGCCGTATAAGCAATTGTTTGTTTACCAGAATTGGTACGCACTTAGTAGTCTATAAACATTATTTACTGTGAGAACATCTCGTAAGTTTAGCAAGAGGAGTGTGTTTTCGGTCTGGTCACCAAAAGTTCTTGCAAAGAATATAAGCCTGATGGAATGATTTTGTTTAGATTTTGTTTTAGATTACAGAGCTGTTTTATTCCCATATTCTTAATATGAACAGAGGCTCTCTTCATAAACGAAGTTTCAGGCGTTTACATTTCTCTGTTTTTAGATACAGATTAATTAACTAAAAATGGCTTTGGGGGCCCGAAACTTTTCCGGGACTTTCGAGAAACAGGCCCCTGGAATGAGATACTTACGCTGTTGTTAATTTTACCTTAGAAATCAGATGAAAGCGCATCTTCTTATGAACAGTGAAAGTCAGGATACGATGTTTGAGGACATTGGCTTTCAGGTGAGTTTTTTTACCTCTTGGAATGCAGTTGTGTCGTAAAGTGGCCTAAAAACCTAGCATTACAAAAGTACCGTTTGAAGAAAAATCTTTAAAAAAAATGATAGGAAGTTGCAGTGGCACATTCCACGGAGAGACTCTTCGTCCACTCTTTCCAGATCGAATTGAAATTTAAAAATGTTAGCTTTTGTGGACGGAGAAAACCGGAGAACCCGGAGAACCCGGAGAAAAACCCTCGGAGCAAGGATGAGAACCAATAGCAAACTCAACTCACTTATGACGCCGGGCCCAAGAGTCTTGGTCCCGACGCGAGTGCTCTAACCACTGCGCCACCGCGCGTGAGAGAAAAACCTCCGGTACCCAGGGTACCATCCCTGCTGCCTAAACGAAAAGATATTGTACACGTCGCTCTTTGATTTTTCTCATTAGATATCAACCAAGGGAAGTTACACATCACCTCTAGAAGCCGCCACGGCTGTTGATTCTATTACCAAGACCGATGTCTTGACGGTAAGAAATACTTCATTTGAAATGAGATATTCCGCGTGTAAGAAGTTGTTACATGGGGAGAACGTCCATTTTAAACAGCAACTTCGAAACTGTTAATTTAGAAAGTTTAAAGGAGGTAATTTACGAGTAAACTTTACAAATTTATTTAGTCTAAACTGAGTTTTCAAGGTCGTCTTTGGTAATCAGTCTCAGTCTTACCAATTTTAAGTATCCCTGCTTGGTTTTGTTTTTATTTCTCTCTCTCTCTCTCTCTCTCTCTCTCTCTCT